AATTTAACATTATTATTAAATTAATTTTTTTATAACATATTATACAGTCTCCTGTGAAATTACTAACATATGTAAATTATTAAATATTAAGAATGTAGGATAAATATAATAATAATATTTAGGGTAGTGATGTAAGAATTAAAATTTATTTATTAATTTTGGCGCATGCAGTTCCCTCCACATCTATCCGAAACCAAATTCCCTCCTTCCCTCGTTTTCTGCTCTCGCCTCCTCTACGCTCCTAACTCCCTCTTTTCCTTCCAAACCCTTTTCCCCACTCTTTCTCTCTCCAAGCCTCACTTTCTCTCTCTAAAACCCTACTTTCCGCCCATCCTCCCCCTTTTCCCTCCAAATTCCCCACAATTTCGCTCCGCCCCTCGCCCCATGTCCACCACCGCCGGACCTCCCGACCGCCGTGCCTCGCCGCCTCGGGGGGCTGCCGGCACCACTATCCGCCCCGCGCTCAAGCGCCACCTAGCTTTCGTCACTAAACCGCCCTTTGCTCCCCCTGACGACTACCACAGCTTCTCCTCCATCGACTCCCGCCGCCTTGCCGATGAAGCCGTTGTCGTTAGATCTCCTGTGAGTACATCGGTTTCCTCTCTCCGGTCTCAAATTCACCTCCGCGGCTCTCGAATCTGGAATGTCCTCTTCTGCGTTGAATGCGATGTTAAATTCACTAACTGCGATGTTAAATTTACTTGACGGAGATCTCCTTCGTGTTTTAACGGTTGTGTTGTGTGTTGTCATTCTTTTCTCTGGATCTTTTCCCTTTCCTTAGTGAATGAACGAGTTGATGATTATTCGAGGGTGCGATGGTGTTTCTGTTGTTTTTTGGGTTAATTTTCTAGTTTTTGGGGGAAAAGTGAAGTCAGTCTCTCAGTCTCAATCTGTCTCTGATGATTATTTGAGAATACGATACTGTTCTGTTATTTTTTTGGGTTAATTTTCTAGCTTCTGGGGAAGAAGTGAAGTTAGTCTCTCAGTCGCAAAGTGGCTAATCAGTGTAGGTTGGGGCATGGTCAGGTAGTTCTGTGCGATAATCAAGTGGGAAGGGGGTTTAGTGGAGGTTAATTGAGCGGGAATTTAATGGGTCACTTTTGATGTGGTCAGATTTTGATACGTGGTCTTTGCTTTTGGTTAAGGAGACCATGCTATAGCTGTCCAAGAGTTAGGTTTTGGTCATACAAAGTTATTGGGATGGGAGAACTTATTTTCTTTTAAAATAGTTAGGCGATTTGTATGACTGAATCTAAATCAATTCTTGAAGTTGAGTGATTATGAGTTAAGATCAAGCTCTTTATGGAAACTAAAATAAATAAGAGAAACAAGAAAGTGAGAGAAAGAATTTGGTCAACCTCAACTTCTGTAGCACTCGTACGAAGCTGGAGGATGTATGTCATAAAGTCATACAGTTGATCCTTCGAACATTTGTGATCTTTGCATGCTATCAATGAGCTAATTCTTATCTGTGTCCCTAACTCTCATTTGCAGTCCTGCATATTGATTTGTAATTGTTTACATACAGTTTTGCTATGCATAGTTAATCTAGTTTTAGTGGATAGGTAATGCTGGGTCGTGAGCTTCTTCATCTGTGACTCAATATGATAAGATTGAATTTCTTTTTTACGTGTGTTTATCCCCTTCTTTGCTTGATATTTCAAGGAATATTATATTTAGCATTGTTGTAATCGATTGTAAATATGGAAGGATGAATTAATACCTTTACTTGATTGCTACCTTATAATTTGTTGAAACTGATGTTGGTTGCAGTACATGAAGCGAAAGGGTGGAATGAATGACAGCGAAGGAGAGTCTCACACACAGAAGTGGAGTAACAGTCCTGGATACACTAATGTTAGTAACATAACGAATAGTCCCTTTAAAACTCCAGTGTCTGCAAAAGGAGGAAGGACACAGAAGGCAAAGGCTTCCAAAGAAGGCAGATCATGTCCTCCCACACCCATCTCAAATGCTGGTGAGAACATTTCCTTTTATCTTTATTGTTCAACAACATTCAGTATTCTGTTTGAGAAGATTTAGTGCTTGGAAACATTTTGTGTACAAAATATGAATTCTGATTTACATTTTCCTTGATGTGCTCCATCCATAATGTACTGTGTTTAATCAGAGTTTTTCTGATTCAGGTTCCCCGTCTCCTCTTACTCCTGCCAGCAGCTGCCGTTATGACAGTTCCTTAGGTAATTTTAGCGGCATTCTTAATCGATAAGCTCTTTTCAGTTCAGTCTCCCGTTATGTTTGATCAATGGAGTTATTTCAATGACAAAAGAATGACAACATCCACAACATCACAGGTCTCTTAACCAAAAAGTTCATCAATTTGGTCAAGCATGCAGAGGATGGTATTCTTGATCTAAATAAAGCAGCCGAGACTTTGGAGGTCCATCTTTTTTCTGCAAAAAAAGTTAAAACCAAAATATCTTATATTTATTCTTCCTCTATCATGTATGAATTTACTCTTTTTTTTTCCTTTTCCACAGGTGCAAAAGAGGAGGATTTATGACATAACGAATGTTTTAGAAGGCATTGGTCTCATTGAAAAGAAACTCAAAAATAGAATACATTGGAAGTACTGTGAATGTGACACATTTTAATTTTTTCTTTAATGTATGTTCCTTTGAATTTTGACATATATGTACTATTAGAGCAAAGTTCTTACATCAAACCTTGTGGATCCTAGGGGAATTGAATCTTCCACGTCTGGTGAGGTGGATGGCGATATATCTGTGCTTAAGGTAAGTAATGTAGGTGTTGTATATTTTCGAATGACCTATTGACACCCAAGTAGCTAACTGTTATAGAATTTACATTGTCACAAACATTTCTCATGTAACTTTGTTTGTGTGGCAAGCAAAATTTATTGGATCCAGAACTTATATTTTTCCCGATTCACCATATGAAGATATTTAAAAGGATTAAAGGCCTAAGTAGTTGTCCTTGTGGCTATGTCTGCAGGAAGAAGTTGAGAAACTTTCATTGGAGGAGCAGGGATTAGATGATCAAATAAGGTTATATGCTTGCTTTTTGAAAAAGAGCACAAATTTGCTATTTCAAAACTGTTGGCCAATGCTTATTTTTCTAAAATTTTTGCAGGGAAATGCAAGAAAGATTGAGAAAGCTGAGTGAAAATGAAAATAACCGGAAGTAATCTACTCTCCATACTCATTCGTTTCTTAGATTTGTTTTCCCTTTGCCCTCCTTTTCATAAGAAATAACAAAATGTTGTCACAGTATTATAAATTTATACCAATTTCATATCTTTTTAGGTGCCTTTTCGTGACCGAGGATGACATTAAGAGCCTACCTTGCTTCCAGGTCATTTTTTCTTGCGTAGCACTCCCAGCTTATACACATTGCTTTAGCTGTCCTCTCATGTAAATTCTGATTATTGTTAAGGTTTTCCTTTTATTAATACTGGCGTATTCCTGCAAGCAGAATGAAACTTTAATAGCAATTAAAGCTCCGCATGGAACTACCCTGGAAGTCCCTGATCCTGAGGAAGTAAGTTTAGTGCATAAATTGATGAAAGGTTCATGCACTTTATAAAACAGATGTTCTAATGCATGATGGAGAATTATTGCTTCTATATGAATCAGGCTGTAGACTATCCTCAGAGGAGATATAGAATCATTCTTAGAAGCACAATGGGTCCCATTGATGTCTACCTCATCAGGTACTTTTCTTGGCTAGTTTTATTTACTGAACTTTTTTGTTTTTTTGTTCTTATGCTGTGCATCCAGAAATCACATTAGTCCGTATTTCCTATCCAATGTTCAATTCATCTTTGGTGTTGACAAGATATTCCCACGTCATTTTTTTAAGACTAACCCTCATGCTGGGGATGGTTTAGTAATCGTTTGCCGCGGTAGTCATT